TATTATTATGTGCCATACTACTAATCACACCACTGAACTACCTCCCTCAGGTAGGAAGGAACCAAATGTACTTAGAGCAGTGTGTCGCCCTAAATCTTCCAAACAACCCAGGATGGAAAGATTTTTCTTTTCTTTTTGTCTGGTTTCAGCAAACATTCACTGAGCCCTTTAATTATGGACAAAACAGTCTACTACTGGGAGGCTACTGGGAGAAGACCACTCCCTTACTCCAGAACACTCTCTGAGCCACCACGCCTTGTCACACGCTGTATCCTTAGCCAAGATTGTCCTTGCACGATTGTCCTCCTGGGCTTACTCAGTGAGGAATGACTCCTTACCGTCCCATTAAACATTATATGTGACTTAGTTTATCAATTTTATAGCCTTATTATAAAGGATATAAGCTTTATTCATAAATATTTAGGGCAAGGTTATTGTGAGTGCCTCTTCAGGCAAAGGACTATTTTTCCATCTTTGGATTTCCAGTGCTTGTCACAAAATAGGTACATAGTAGATGTTTGTTGAATAAGTCAATGCAAAAAGAATCACACTAAATTAAACACTAAATACTCTCTACATTAATTGAAGACTTATAGCAATGTGGCTAAGAGGATGGATTTAAAGGATGGAATTAAATTGTTCAGGCTGAAATATTCAATCCACCATTTACTGGCCATGTTACATTGAGTAAGATATTTAATATGCTTGGTTTTCATGTCTCTAAAATGGGGCTAGTAATGGAACCTGTAGGTTGCTGAGGGGATCAAATGAATTAATATGTAGAAAGTATTTAAGAGAGTTCTGGCACATGGAATCCACTCCATCAATGTTAGCTACCATTATTATTATTTTTGGCTAGAATATAAAAATGTAAATAGAGAAGCACTCTACTTAAGGACCAAATCAGTATTAAACACAACCACTACATTTACCCAGCATCTTTCCAGCCCTTTCTCAGGTTTTTCTTTGAGGCATCAACCTTCCCCACTCTCAGTCCTGGTAGTAGAGCCAGGCATCCAACACCGATGTGGCTGAAGAGAATTAGGGACGGGTCCGGGGCTGGGGACACGACCCCAAGCTGGACACTGATACTCAGACTGACACTTTTGCTGGGACTAATGGTAAAGAGGCAATGAGAACATGAGCCAGGATCTGCTTGTGGGAAGAAAGAAGAACCCAGAGATGGAGAGACAAAATTCCTAATCATGTCAGGTTTATTTGTTTTAATTTATACAAGCCAGTAAATTCCCTTTTGGCTTCATGCAGTCTGAGTGGACATTTGGTATAACAACCCAATGTGTCCTCAGAAATATAATCAGGACCAGTCATTGTAAAGGTGGAAGCTTACAATATTATTATTTCATTAAGTTCTATACGTGCTTCAGGGTATCGTTGTAAAGGAACTAGTTTATATTAGGAATTTTTATTTAAATGAAATTTAAATGAAATTATTTAAAGGGTTATCAAAGAACCACAGTTCCTTCACACTTGGTGGCCAGAAGAGAATAAATACAAGACTCTAGAAAAGTGGTCCTCTCACTTTGGTGTTTGTGATACTCCTTGAGGAGCTTGTAGAAAGGCAGGCTTTGAGGCCACACCCAGAAATTCTGCAGCAGGCCTAGGAATCTGCATTTCTCCTGAGCCTGTCCACTGATGCTGGTGGGGCCCACTTTGAGAAACACTACCCTAGAGGGTTCGGTTCCTCTTAGATGTTGTAGGTAAATCTGGAGAACTCAAATACAGCTGGGAAGGAATTCCCAGAATGTGATGAAGTGGGGAAATTTCCACAATGATTTAAGGAACTAAAAGAACTTCAAAGACTAACTCTGAGTTTAAGCACTAATTCTGAAGCAAATGTTGACAAATGCAGAAGTGTCTCAGCTCTAAAACTGGAGGGATATAAGCATTATATCCAGTTTTCTCTGTGGCTATTTTCTATAAAAAAGGAAGTGATACAGAATAAAAACAATAATTTAAAAATTGATTTCAAGCTTATGGCTTTATCAATTTCATTACAATAAACTATAGTAACTTTGTGTAGGTCATAGCATACAATTAACAAAGAGGACCTTTGAGAATTCATCTCAGTTTTTAACAGAGCAGCTATAATGAGCACAATTATAATAATTGGTAAGAAGCTTTTGCGGCATTCCATAATACACAAAAGACAACACGGCAAAATGGAATAGATTGTTTTCCAAAAGCACTACATGAGTTTCACAAAGGAAATCTTATGTTGACTGTAATGTGTAAGGGGGTGAGACAAAAGTCATTTGATGCTACCATGACACCATGCAAATAAGAAAACCATTTCCTGGTGTGTATTCATGTTGGCCTTTGTTAAGGGTCATCATCAATTATGTGACTAAATCACAGAAACTATCTAGCTCTTTTAAGCAGGGGTTCCCCAAAAGAATTAAGCCTAAATACTATAAAGCATTCATTGTATATGGATTGATACTGCTTTGCATCGGAAATGGCCTTACCTCAATACCTTCCATGGGAGAATGAGAAAATAATGTCTCAAATCATTTTCTGTAGGGCTTAGTTGCCTAATGAAACCCAGTTTAGAAAGGCTAACTGACATTCTTCAAACTTAAAATACATACTCTGGGTCAAATAACTGTAACTTTTAATTTCAAGTAAGGTAATCTAGCAATAGTAAGAGTGGCTTTCTGAAATTAAAAGTCTCACAAATAGAACCAGAAACTAGAAGGGCTAGTGCTTTCAAGTCATACTTTGTGCATCAACATACACTTTATGCATTGAGATTAATGATGTCAGTGGAATTCAACTGTAGTTCTTCAGAGCCACACAATAGAACTTAATCTACAGCATGAATGTCTTGGACTTCGTCCACAACCATTAGTTGTTAAACTGCCAAGCACATCTCATTATACAGAAATCCTACTCATTCCAAGGAAAATACAGTAGTATATGACTTCAGCTGAACTGAAAAACAAATTGTGATTTGTTCTGTGGTTGGAGCTTTGTAAATGGTTTGCACATTTATATTGAGTTTTTATGTGAGACTGATAGTATCTGATTTTAATTTTTGTGTCAGACTCTGCTAACTGACCATTCCAATATCCACCCTCCCTTCATTTCTGACTAACAAAACCTAGGTTTTTAACAGGACACATTGGTAGAAAAAAAAGACTACATTTTCCAGCTTCCCTTGCAGCTAGATATAGCAATGAAAGCAGAGGTAGAAATGTTGTATGAAAGTAGAATAGATTTCACTGGAAGGGGCTCTTTTGTACCTTTTTGCTCCCCCCTCCCCATTTTTTGCCTATCATAGAGTGTGATCAATGAAAATCAACAACCCGTCCACCTCTACACTACTTTAACATGAGAGAGCATGACACTTCTACTCCATGCCTAATCCTCTGTGATTTTGTTCATTTGTATTTCCTGTTCCAAGTGGCAGAGCTTAAACCTAATTAATATAATTTACATGCAGTTTCTTATGCAGTAAAGGCCAGGTAAATTAATAAACTAATTGGCACTAAATATTTGAACTATTTTGCAACATCTGAAAGTTGAATCATGTATTTAAAACAAATAAATAGTACTTTATCCAAGTGGTAAACATATGAGAACAAAATGTTTTACTGGATAAAAATATAAGTAATTTAAAAAGGAATTCCGATCAGTAATAGGAATAAGGAAAAAAAGTCAGTACAATGTGTGGTATAAATAAAAATTAGTAAAATGTGTGTTACCACAGATAACTACCATATAACAGATACTTATCAAAGGTAACAAATGGGGCTCAAAAGGTTATGAGTTGAAGTCTAATGTACAGACACACAGAGTGTCTTTATTATTTGCATATTATTCTTGTTATCTGTGTGTGACCTGTTCATTCTATGTCTACTTATATTGAATAATTTACTTATGGGCCGAATGGAAGACTTTGGTCTTCTAGCTTTCATGTTCAGCAGACAAACATCTTAGAAAAATTCCCAGGACAATACAAAACTATTACCATGCTTTTGATGTCCAGAAAATCCTTTCATGTCTGATTTTTACTCTGTACTCTTGAAAAGGCATTAAAATATTTTGAATAGACCTAGCAAAAGGATTGAAAGCATTAGATTGAATTTAAAACTAAGTCTATTCTTTAGATTGCTTTTGATCAACCAGGTAGAAATTTAGTTTTAGTGTTGCTCTATGATAAGATTTTGAGTTTATTGTAAATATCTGGTCAATAATATTTTGTTTGGGAAAATATTCACATTAAATATCCTACTAGGATTTTAGAGCTATCCAAGGTCTTGCCTATTCCCGTATTAGGTAGATCCCTTTGGGAAAACTGTTAAGACTCATGTCTTCTGAATAATCTCAATATTATTCATTTAATACCTTGAAATCCTTGTTCTGACTTCATATGCAAATATCTATGGTTCCGTTTATGTAAATTATTGGCATTCACTTCATTCTAACAATGTAAGGCAATGTGTGGGTATCAAATTTAATTAAAATGATGTACCCATATCTCCTCCATCAGCTGTTACATACTCTTACTTCTTTATGTTAACTGCAAGTGGGGAAAGTTATTAGATATTTAGGAAGATTATTTTCCTGAAAAATATTTTTTATCACTATCTTCTCTATCATAAATACACAGATGGTCTTCAACTTATGATGGTTCAACTTACCAATTTTTGACTTCACAATGGTACGAAAGTGACCTGCATTCAGTAGAAACCATACTTCAAGTACCTCTGCAACCATTTTGCTTTTCACTTTCAGTACAGTATTCAATAAATTACATGAGATATTCAACACTCTATTACAAAATAGGCTTTACATTAGATGGTTTTGCCAAAGTGTAGGCTAATGTAAGTGTTCTGAGCATGTTTAAGGTAGGCTAGGCTAAGCCATGATTAGGTGTATTAAATGAACTTTTGAATTACAATATTTTTTATTTACAATGTATTTAACAGGACACAGCATCTGCATACCTGTTGAGATGGCAAGATAAAGATACTTACCCCTGTGACATCCATAACTTTAATGGCCGCAAGCTGGCCCGTTTTGACATGACGACCCTGTAAAGAAAATAATAAAAGATTTAGTTCTGATGAGTAATATTAGCATTCAATTCCAACCATACAGAACAATTACCTAGATCAATAATACAGTATGTCATTTAAGGAGACACACACACACATAGAAACCTTAAATATTGTGAGGATCCATTTCTTATTTTGTGTTTATTTTGTAAAACATCCCCATCACTTTGTCTTTTAGTTTTATTTTCACAGTAAGTGTCAAGTTAAATAAAAAAATGCAATGTTGAACAATTTGGTTCTACCTCCTCTCCAAGGCGTTAGGTAAGAGCTTTGTGAAAGAGCTGGATTTGTGATGGAAGGGTGGCTCGGCCTGGGTGGAGGATACACACATATCTCTCTGTCAGAAAACACTCGGTATGGGAAGAAGCTTTAGTTTCCTTCATTCTTAAAATATCTTGTATTGTAATAGTTTCAACTGGATATGATTCTGTTAGAATCCACTTGAGAGTGTTCATTTATCTTTCTCTTAAAAGTGGGCCAAAAATTAAACAGCAATCAATCAAAATTTGTGACCAAGGAGACAACAGTGAACATTCACAGCTCCTTTCCAAAGTGGGCATCTTTGGTCTTTCGAACCACAATGAAGCAACAACCACACAGCAGAATCAGAAGAGAATAGAGTTATGGTAAGAGGGGTGTTTTCTCTAGGCTTGCTCCTTGAGAAAACAATGTTTACATCTGAGTCTCAGACAAAAGCAAAGATGGTCATACTCATTAACTTCTAAATGCATTTTATATCTAAAATACATTTTACCTACTACTGCTATCAGGCAATATGATACAGCTTCTAAGTACAACTGGGTTCAAATCCCAGCTGCAAGACCGTAGGCAAATCCCTTAGCCTTCTAGGCCTCAGTTTCTTCAACTGAAAAATGGAAATAACAATATTATTTCCTAATTAACCTAAATCACAGAATTGCAGTGGGGATGAAAATGAGATAATATATATATATATGTAAAGTGCTTGACAGTGCCTGGCACAGATTAGCTGGCAACAGATGCTGACTGTAATTATTAATAGTCCTGTCTTCTGATTAATTTTAAATGTCATCTTCCCTACTAGGCTATATATTTCATAAAGGCAAAGACCATGTCTCATTGATGTATGTCCATTGCCTGGAATAGTGAGTGCTCACCCCATAGATGGGGCAGCACGTTTATGAATCAACAACAGCAGGAAGGAGGCATGTATACTTGGGGTTGGGAATACATGATCGTTTGGTGTGCTTCAGATTCAGCAGCTGAATTTGGTGAAAACGTGCTGGTCTGGTTGAGCCAAATTTTTAAAAATTGTGGTAACAACATTATTGGGCCAATTTTGTAATTGAGAACTACTATATCTTCATGCTCTTGAACCTTTTCCCTTTCTCTGCTCCTTCTCTCCCCTACCACCTTAATGTTTCCCTCTCCTTTGGACCCTTAACTTTTGCCTATACTGCCTGCTCCTTTTCTTCCCACATATTTCTTCAGCTTTTTAAATGTGTTGACTTTGAATCTACCAGCTCTTCCTTCTCCTTTCCAGCCCCATCCTGCTCCTCCTCACTTAGGAGAGAGCACAAAGGAGACATTAAATCAGTAATACAATACGGTTACAGGCACAGCCCTTCATATGCATTTCAACATTCATGAAATCAAGGGAGAGGGCTGGCAGGTTATTGTGCAAAGAGCCCTGAATGGGAAGTCCAGAGGCCTGGTTCTTGCCCAGGCTCTGCCCCTAATCACCCAGCTCCTCTGTGCCTTGGTTTCCCCATCTGCAAAATGTGGGGAGGCTGGGCTCAGGGTTTTATGAGGAGGATGGTGAGTAGACATCATTGCTGCCAACTCTTTCCACCACTAGGAGCATTTGGAAATTTAGTTTTCACAGTAAACAGGGAGAGTAGTGCGACTGCTGTGGAACCAGGAACACCAACTTTCCTGCAGAGCCTGAGTCAATCTCACCCACGTGAGGAAGAAGTAGCAACAGTGTCCCCCACTGATAAACCCTGCATGATCTCCAGGGTCATCTAGGCCATGAGAAGTCTGTGATGCTGTAACAATGACCTGTGCAGAGGCATCAACAGCTTTGCAATCAACAGATGACTTCAAAGTAAGTGCCACAAATCATACCTTAAACAATTCTGTTCACCTCCTGAAGCACTGAGAGAGGGTAGGGCATCTGCAGACACACACAGAGGGTCTGCTGGATATTGCCCTTTGCCTTCCTGATTCCCCAATAAACTCGCTTTCTAGATTCAACCAGAGCAGTGGGCCTCATCTTTTTTGGCACCTGGGACTGGTTTCATGGAAGACAATTTTTCCAAGGATCGGGGAATGGGGTGATGGTGACTGATAACGAGTGGCTACAAATACAGACAAAGCTTCACTTGCTCACCTGCTGCTCACCTCCTGCTATGCAGCCCAGCTCCTAACAGGCCACAGGCCAGTACCAGTCCACAGCCTGGGTATTGGGGACCACAGAACTAGAGCAGCACCTCCTCTGACACCTCACTGTGTCAATGCCTCCTCATCTCTGTCTGCCAAGGAACATGTCCATGTTTCTATTACTGCACTGAGCTCAAAGGGTCAGTGGTCCTCTCTCCCATCTCTTTCTCCTTCCTCTCTCCCTTCCCTCCCCTCTGGCTTCATTTGTGGCACAACCTTTCCTCCAAATAAAACCTTAAGTGGCTCTAGCAAGGGTTTGACCACCCAAGTCTGGTCTGCTCTGACTCCCAACTTCCCTCGGCCACACGGGAGTTCCCAAGGCACCTCTGCCCACACAGGTGCAGATTAAGGAATTTTGCACTGGATTTTTAACTTCTTAAGAAGCAGGACATCTTCTTTGAGTGAATAATTTGTTGCGAGAAAACCTCAACACCAAGTTCTTTCTATCAGCAGCCTCAGGCTGGGCAGATCTAGCCCATGGTACTCGCCCAAGGCCAGAGATGAGACAGGATAAAAGCAATCCATGTTACATTTCAAACACAAGGCATTAGGTAATTCTTGGTTGAAATAAATAAAATAGCTTTTTAAATATAACTTAGAGTACAAGAATTTTTGTTTTCATTTTGTTTTAGTAACTGCTATGAATGTCAATGAAGGTAGCACTGGAAAAGAAAACAACCTTATTTTTCTTCCATTTTAGATTTCACTTCCGAGCTGAAATAACAGATCTCAGTGAGCCTGACAGATGACTGAATCCTACACCTTGGGATGGCAGTTTGGGCTCAAGTGAGATTCTGGAGGTGGAACAATGAGCAGCCTCAGATCAGTCCCAGTGAAGGTATCTGCATGTGCTGAAGGCTGCTGAGCTGTCAAACCTTGATGCTCAGGGGAGGACCATGCGGGAACCCGCCCAGCAGGAGTTGCCTTTTCCACCACCAGAGAATGTCAAACCAAATCATGATCCAGATTAAGGCAGACTTTGAGGGAATGGCAAGGAATCAGCTGACCTAAAGATCACTGGAAACCTGAGGCACAGTCATTGTTAAGGCAGTTTTTAAAGAGGCAACTTTATAAAATCACAAATAAATTTAGTAGAAAAAGCCCCTAAGGCACCTAATACAACCCTCTTCCTTTAGAGACGAAGCCAAAGTATCACAGCTAATGAGAACCTAAACTCAGGACACTTTCTGCTCTATCCCATGTCTGCCATCCAGCTCTTAAAGTACAAGTTCCTATCACTAAAATTTGAAAATAATTGTTTAACAAATATTTTCACATTTTACTTAACTCGAGTTAAACATTGAACCATTCATCTCTGCTTTGCATAGGATGCTTTTTTAAATTTACTTTTTGATTTGGAGACAAGGCAATGAGGGAGGATGTTCAGGAGAATTTTGAAGGCAAAATTTAATATTACTCTCAATTTTAATTTATTTCCACTTATAAGAGAAATTAAAAATATAAATAGGCACTATCTATTTAGATCTAAAGTACATGTTCAAAGCCTGGCACAGTGGTGAGTGCCAGTAGTCCTAGTTACTCAGGAGGCTAAGGCATGAAGATCACCTGAGGCCAGGAGTTCAAGGCCAGCCTGGGCAACATAGTGAGACTCAGTCTCTAGATGAATAAATAAATCCGTGCTCAACTGAGGACTAAAAATTAAATTCTGAAAGGAAAAAAATTTCTAAAGGGAGACAAAAGAGTTAAAAATTTTTCTCTACAAAAATTAGAGAAAATGTCCTGTCAGGTTGCAGTTGCTGAGTCATTTCTTAATAAAAGAATGAACAGCGATTATTTTTCCTCCTGAAATAACCAATAACAGCAAATGACTGTGAACACGCTAAATCCAGAAGAATAAAATTGATATTCTGGTATGGCCAAAACCCTAATGTCAGATAATGTCCTAAAGCATAAAAAGCCCGTCCATGGGAAATGAGGAAGAAAGGCATCAAAACAGGGAAAGGGGAGCATTGGGGTCATCCAGTCCTGGGGGCACAGTTCAGTCTGGTCCTCAGACACACAAACTACTCTGCTCCCTTTCTTCCTTTCTCCTCCTTTGAAGTAAAGAACTATGCTCATTCTTGCTCTATATAAAAGAATTCAACATGAGGGTGAAAGCCAAATCTCTCAAGTGCTACAGTACTTTACCCCTTCCTCTATTTCCTCTCTAAAATAAATGCAAGAGAAAACAATGGTTTTGTCTGAAATAGCCTCCTAAGCCTCACCTCTGTTATTGCTGTTATTTTCTAAGGAACAGCAAGACGGTTTTCTGCTTTTGAGCTGCTAGCCTGAGGCTAGCCTGGAAGAGACAGCACTTTCATTTCTAGGTCACTGAAATAACATTTGTTTCCAGAGGAGCACACAAGCAAACCAGGGTTGTTGGAAATGCAGACACTCTCCCCATCGTCTCCATCCTCCCACTCAGGGACACCCCCACACACAGGTACGTAGCTCATTCACCTTCACATTTTGCTTAGATTCAATCTCTCCTATATTAAAGAAGTCATCTTCAATTTCCTAATAGCAAATGAGTACTCCACCTTTGTGTTTCCACA